TTGTGTAGAAGTTGTGTATATATGTTGTAATGTGTATATTAGTATAGAAGTTGTGTATAAGTGTTGTTGTGTGTATATTTGTCCATAAGTTGTGTAGAAGTTGTGTATATATGTTGTGTGTATATTTGTCCACAAGTTTTGTATAAGTGTTGTGTGTATATTTGTATAGACGTTGTGCAGAAATGTTGTCGTGTGTTTATTTGTGTATAAGTTGTATATATGTTTGTGTATAATTGTAAGTGTGTGCTCTCAGGTTCCAGGTCTCAGGTCTGATTGAGGGTCAGTGGTACGCCTACAGAGTGCGAGCATTTAACAAACTTGGTGCCAGTCGACCCTGCAGAGCGACTGATGAGATCCAGGCTGTGGACGCTAGAGGTGGGTGGTCTGGAGCTTCTTTATTCTCTATAATTCTTCATCTTTCTTCAGATGATGCTGTTGGAGATGAACAGAACTGAGGCTTCTTATCAAAAGATTACAAGGGGTCACAGAATCAGGATCATGTGTTAATGCAGCAGAATCTGGAGGTCAATGATCCTGAGCAGTGATGGAATAGAGAGATATAAGATCAGGAGTTAAAGTAATGAGATTCAGTAACCAATAAAAATAATAGATTTTTTTCTTTAATGTCTCCAACAGAACCTCCAGAGATCCAGCTGGACGTGAAGTTGCTCGCTGGTCTGACCGCGAGGGCCGGAACCAAGATTGAGCTTCCTGCTGATGTCAAAGGAAAACCCGATCCCCGCGTGAAGTGGACCAAGGCTGACCATGTCCTGAGAGCCGACAACCGCATCGCCATTGACACGCAGCCAGGACACTCCAAACTCTCCATCGTGGACACAACGAGAGGAGACACTGCCACCTACATCATTGAGGCCGTCAACACGTGTGGACGTGCCACTGCCACCGTTGATGTCAACATCCTTGGTGCAGACTCAAATCATTATTTATTCTTTGACCTTTGTTTTATCTCATGTACAGAAGTGAAACACAACCATTGTTCTAAAGAAAAAGAACCACAAACTCTAAACAGATTTAAAGTTTGAGCTCAAACAACTTCAAAAGAAGTTTCTGCCTCTGAAAATCACTAACCTGGACCTTTTGTCCATTTCTCCTTAGATAAACCTGGCCCTCCTGCGGCCTTCGATATCTCAGAGATCACCAACGAGTCGTGCTTCATGGCCTGGAACCCCCCCAGAGACGACGGTGGCTCGGCCATCACCAACTACATCGTGGAGAGTCGCCAGATGGACAAAGAGGAGTGGGTGAAGCTGTCGGCCACCGTAAAACACACCACGTTCAAAGCCTGCAAGCTCACAGCCATGAAGGAGTACATCTTCAGGGTCAGTGCTGAGAACCAGTATGGAATCGGTGCTCCTGCAGAGCATGTGCCAATCATTGCAAAGTATTCGTTCGGTAAGTTTCTGTTATCTAACTCATTGATAAAAATCATCGATAAAATGTAAAGAACCAATGACAAATATGATTTGATTTTCCTCCTGGTTCAGATCCTCCTGGTTCTCCAACCAGAGTCACTCCCTCTGACATTGCTAAGGATGCTGTGACTCTGACTTGGTTCGAGCCTGATGAGGATGGTGGCAGTCCCATCACCGGATACTGGATCGAGAAGTTCGATCCCGAGAGCGACAAGTGGATCAGATGCAACAAACTGCCCATCAAAGACACAACCTTCAGGTAAATCATACAGTTCATTAAAGGAGTCATGATGAAAAGGAGGTGAAACATCTTTATTTGTGAAGAAACAGTGATGAACATATTTTGTGGCATGTACTAATGCAGGGTGAAGGGACTCCCCACCAAGAAGAAGTACCGCTTCCGTGTTCTGGCTGAGAATCTGGCAGGACCTGGAAATCCTAGCGTGGAGACCGACCCTGTCCTCATCAAAGATCCCATTGGTTTGTCACATGTCCTTCAAACTGTTACTCTGCTAAAACCGAAGTTTGAAATTTAGAAAATGAAACTAAACTGGAGATCATGAGAGTAATAAGATTGGGAGGGAGTCGTGGAACAGCAGTAACAGGACTGGGAACTGTTGGATTATAACATCATGCTCTTCTTCAGATCCACCGTGGGCTCCTGGTAAACCTGTCATCAGGGACATCGCCAAGACCTCGGCCCTGTTGGCGTGGACCCGGCCGGAACATGATGGTGGAGCCAAGATTGAAGGCTATGTCATTGAATTCCAGAAGACTGGAAGTGAGGAGTGGATCCGGATCGCAGAGGATGTTCCTCAGACTGAGCACCAGCTGCAGGGTTTGATGGAAAAGCAGGAGTACTCCTTCAGAGTGAAGGCTGTCAACAAGGCCGGCGAGAGCGAACCAAGTGATCCCAGCGACCCTGTGGTCTGCAAGGAGAGACTCTGTAAGTTCAGAACATCACCACCTGTGAAGCTGTCAGGGTTTTATCATTAAGGCCATTAAGGTTTAGGTTGCAGGATCACTAATAGTCAATAAGAGATAGAGAGTCAACACTGGTTGTTTTCTGTTCCACAGATCCTCCGTCAGCTCCTCAGTGGCTGGAGGTGACTAACATCACCAAGATCAATGCCGACCTAAAGTGGCAGGCTCCCAGCAGTGATGGAGGCTCACCCATCACCAACTATGTGGTAGAGAAGAGGGACGTGAGGCGGAAGGCTTGGCAGGCGGTCGACACCACCGTCAAGGAACTCAAGTACACCGTTAGTCCTCTCAATGAAGGATCACTGTATGTGTTCCGCGTTGCCGCTGAGAATTCTATAGGGACGAGTGAATTCTGTGAACTGGAGGACGCTGTGCTCGCCAAAGACACATTCAGTAAGTTCAGTTATGTGTCAGTGTTTTTTTGTTTCTCAAGCTGCTTTCAGACATGATGAACAGAGAACACAAATGCCTGAGTCAGTATCTCTGGACATTTTCTGGAACCTTTCCTTCAGATCTTTGTTCTGCCTCCTGCTGCTCTACAGGCTCCACCCCTAGCCTGAATGTTCCCCACATGTTCTTGTTGTTGTGAACGAGTCTGACCCGGACAATGTTTGTTAATGTTTGTCATGTTCTCTGCAGCCACTCCTGGACCTCCTTACGCTCTGACGGTGGTGGAGGTCACCAAGAGACACGTGGAACTGAAATGGGAAGCTCCCAAGAGCAATGGTGGACGACCTATAACCAAGTAAGACTCAAACTACTGTTAAACCACATTCACATGAGACACTGACAATGAACTGACCTAAAGAACAGGCAAAGAACCAGCATCTGTAAACCCTCTTCACCGTTTGTTTCTCAGGTACGTGATTGAGAAGAAAGATAAGCTGGGAACTCGTTGGCTGAAATGCTGCAAGACTGCAGACAAACAGACTCAGTTCAAGGTGACGGATGTAGACGAAGGGTCGGAGGTTCAGTTCCAAGTCAGAGCTGAGAATGAGGCCGGAGTCGGAGATCCGAGCGAACCCACCGAGATTCTCAACATCGAGGATCCAACCAGTAAGAGATTTATTCATAGGAACTTGTGTGTTCTTGACTTAAACAGATTCTAGTTGGAAGTAATTTTCTTTTGATTGTTGATTGGTCAAATCATTTATCCAGTAGCATCAGTATTAATCAGAAAACATGTCAGATGTGTGAACCGACTTCTTCTCTCTCCAGGTGCCCCGTCTCCTCCTCTTGAAGTTGCTGTCCCTGACGCCAGCAGGGAGCACATCAATGTCACCTGGAAGCCTCCTGTCAAAGATGGCGGCTGCCCGATTACTGGCTACCATGTGGAGGTGGCGGAGGCACGTCCGGAACTGAAGTGGCTCCGAGTCAACAACAGACCCATCAAAGAGCTCAAGTTCAGGATTGACGATGGTATTAAACCTGAGAAGAAGTATGTCATCAGAGTCCGTGCCATCAACTCTGTCGGAGTTAGTGATCCATCTGAGATCTCGGACAAGGTCTCCACCAAAGATCCCGACTGTAAGTATCCGCACTTCTCAGTTTATTGAGAAAGGAAAAATGGAACTCTCAAAATGAACCCTGAACAATAATTCTGTCCCCTCATCTCAAGGTGCTCCAACTATGGATTTGGAGGCACAGGACATGGTTGTGGTTGAGGGTGAGAAACTGCACCTGAACATCCCCTACAGGGCAATTCCAACCCCCAAGATGGTGTGGCAGAAGGACACATTAGAGTGTAAGGCCGATGACCGTCTCTCAATGACAGTAGAGATGAACAGTGCTCACCTGGAGCTGCTCAAGTGCACACGTGCTGATGCCGGTGCTTACGCCATCACACTAGAGAACAGTCTGGGAACTGCAACCGGAACCATAAATGTCAAAGTCATCGGTACGTTGTCATAATTATGAAAAGTGCTGCAGAACTAAAACACACATTTGTTCATGTGTCTTAAACTTGTATAGTTAATAGTTAACTTATAAAAAAGTCCAAACACTTTTTCAGGTTTTCAGATCAGTTGTTGAACTGAATTCATGTTTGTAAGAATTAGTTAATCATTGACGATTTGTCCTTTAACTTGTCTCCTGAATCACAGGACTCCCCGGTCAGTGTAAAGACATCACGTCCAGCGACACCACTAAGAACTCCTGCAAAATCAGCTGGGAAGCCCCAGAGGATGATGGCGGCACGCCCATCATCAGCTACACCCTGGAGCGCCGTGAGGCCTCCAAGAAGACGTATATGCCTGTGATGTCAGGAGAGAACAACCTGACGTGCTCAGTCAAAGACCTGTACATCAACTGTGAGTACTACTTCAGAGTGAAGGCTGTCAACAAGGTCGGAGCTGGAGAATATCTGGAGCTACGCAACCCCGTCATCACAGAGGAAATCAAACGTAAGTTTAGATCAATAATGTCAAACCACTGATCTGTGATGTCATCGAGAGCATGTCAGCATCCTGATATTAGCTTTTAGTTCAAGTACAACTTTACCCAACCAAAAGACTCTTGTCTTGTTATAATCAACGGATAATTTCCCAAAATGTCAGTGTCTTCAAATCAATGCAAACGATTTTTGTCATCACGAGAGATGCGTTTTCAGATCAACAGGATTAAACCAAAATAATTGTGATTGTAGTAGATGAGTTCAGATATTTATTTTCTGTCTAATGTTGATTCTACAGAGAAACCAGATCCGCCCATCCAGGTGGAGGCTCATGACCCAACATCCAAGTCCATCACTGTCAAGTGGAAGGCTCCGGACTACGACGGTGGCTGTCCCATCCAGGGCTACATTGTGGAGAAGATGGAGAAGGATGGTGACCGCTACGAGAGAGTCACCCCGAGCCTGGTCCCCAGTTTGACCTATGTGGTGACAGGCCTGACGGAGGATATGGAGTATCAGTTCAGGGTCCGAGCTGAAAACGCAGCTGGAGTCAGCGAGCCTTCACGTAGCACGCAGCTCATCAAGGCCGCAGATCCCGTTGGTACGAAATACTGCAAACATTTTATTTCTTGAAATAAAAAAAAGATTTTTAGCTCCAAACATTAGATAAGAATTTACCAAAATTTTAAACTCTAATTTAATTTTCAGAAAAACCAAAGGTCACCCTCCACGCCCGTGTACAGTCTGGTTTGAGCATCAAGAAGAACGAGGAGATCCGTATCGACGCCTTCATCTCTGGGTCCCCTTATCCTAAAGTCA